TGAGTTGATGAGGGTGAGTCTTCCTCCAATTGAAATGTACTGGGATTTTCATCTGGATAACTTCTTCTCACATTTTTCAATAACATTGTTCCATATCTCTTTGGATTTAGATTTGGCACCCAAAGGCATGCCAAGATAGACGGTAGGTAGTGCTTCTACTTTTCCTCCCAAGATTAGTGCCAACTGTTCTATATCAGGTACTTCATTTATTAGGTAAAGATGGCTCTTTTTCCAGTTAACATGAAGTCCTGAGATTCCTTCAAACGGTACTAAAATAACTCTAAGAAACCTCAGTTGCTCCTTTTCTGCGTCACAGAAGATTAATGTGTCGTCAGCATATTTGAGGTGTGTGATCTCCAAAATATTATTTTCACTTCTTGCAACCTCAAACCCTTTGATCCACCCATTGTTTTTTGCTGTTTTAACCATGTTATTCAGACATTCCATGACTATTATGAAGAGAAAGGGAGATAAATGATCACCCTGCCTTAAACCTCTATGGGCTAGGAAAAACCTCTCAAGAGATCCATTTATGAGGATTGACAATTTGACTGTTGAGATACAATATTTCACCCAGTTGATCCATTTCACCCCAAAACCCATTTGACTTAGCATATTTAGCAAAAAATTCCAATTTACATGATCATATGCTTTTTCGATGTCTAGTTTACAAAGGATTCCCGACTTTTTCTGTTTAGTTCTTGAATCCACTGCTTCGTTAGCAATCAGAATAGCATCCATTATTTGCCTTCCTTTGATGAAGGTCATCTGTTGTGAATCCACCAATTTCTCCATCACTCCTTTGAGTCTCTCAGTCAAAACTTTTGAAATTAGCTTATATACACTGCCTATCAAGCTTATAGGCCTGAAATCTCTTAATTCATTTGCACCTACCTTCTTGGGGATCAGAGCTATATATGATGCATTAAAACTTTTTTCAAAGATTTCGTGGGAGTGAAAATTGTGAAAAACCTCAATAATGTCCTGCTTCAATACATCCCAACACTTGATAAAGAAACCCATTGTGAACCCATCAGGTCCCGGAGCCTTGTCTGCTGCACACATCTTCAAGACCCCCAACACCTTTTGTTCATCAAAGCTTCTTTGTAAGAACTCTTTTTCCTCTTCATATATTTTAGGACATATATCATAGTTGCACCCAGGTCTCCACTCTTCATTTTCTGTATATAGCTTTTTGTAAAAGTGAATGATCTCAGTCTTGATTCTTTGTGGCTCTACAATTGATTCTTCCTGGATTACTAATTGATCAATGTTATTGCTTCTCTTGTGTGCATTAACGGTTTTATGGAAGGAACTTGTATTCCTGTCCCCTCCTTTAGCCAAAGAGCTCTGGATCTCTGCCTCCAAGCAATTTCTTCATTTTTCAGGTGTTCCTCATATTCCATGAGAAGTGTGGCCTTCTTCACTGCTTCCTCTTCTGTTAGAGCTCTATTTTCCAGAGTATAGTCCATCCTTGCCAATTGATTTAGCAAGTTGGTATTTTGCAATCCAAAATTCCCCTGGCTACTTCTACTCCATTCCTTCAGCTTGCCTTTGAGTGCTTTTATTTTGCAAGCTAAAATGAATTCTGGCCTCCCTGAAAATTCAAAAGATGTCCACCATTCTTTGATTCTGTCTATGAAGCCTTCTGTGTTCAACCACCAGTTATCAAACTTAAAGTATGACTTGGTGTGTTCCCAAGAACCACATTGTAAAGACATAGGAACATGGTTTGAGATTAGTCGTTGGAGGAGGGATTGTTTGATGTTCTTGAAAGTGTCATCCCATTCTTTAGATATCAGGATTCTATCAATTCTGGAGGAGATTATTTGGTTGTCCCCTTTGAACCATGTGTAGACGCCTCCTTCTAGTAGGAGATCAATGAGATTCATATCATCAATGACATCTGAAAATTCCACCATAGCTCTGGATCTTCTATTGCAGTTCCTTTTCTCTGAAGGGAATCTAGTAACGTTAAAATCACCACAAACAGCCCATGGGCCCTCCATCAAACCTCTCACAGCTCCTATCTCCTGCCAAACTTTCCTTCTCTCTGTATTACAGTTTGGGGCATACACCCCTCTTATGTGCATTCAAAGTTCTGCAAGAGTGCCTCAAATTTGCATGTGAGTGTATATGCTCCAATTTGAACGACTTCCGCTTTCCAAATTCTACAATCCCATAACATCATAATGCCCCCCTCTAGTACCACTGGACTCCATACAAGCAAACCTCACCCATTGCCCTCCCCAAATCTGCTTAACAAGCTCTTGTATTTCCCCCTCAAGTTTAGTCTCCTAAAAACAGATAATATCTGCTTGCCATAGTTGAACTAGACTCTTTACTATCCTTTTTTTAGCGAAATCATTAAGTCCCCTTACATTCCATGAAACTAGCTTGAAATTCATTGATCAACTAGTGTCAGGCTTTTTCCCCTAATTCTTTTCCCGATGGTCTGGAATTTAACGTCAAAGGAAACCAAACCTTTCAGTTCATTTGCTACTTTGAATCTGGTTTTCTTGATGTCTAGTTCTGGCTCCATCCTTCTTGCTTGTCTACAGCTATCTATCTACATTAGTAATTCCAAAGCTTCTTCTTCATGTTCCTGAAAATCTACCCCAAACATTTTGCTCAGTTTGGTAGATTTTGATGAACCCATAAGGTCGCATCCATCTCTTTCTCAAGAAAAGACTCCTGTTGCTGAACCATAAGAGGTTCAGCATACTCCACTTCCCAGTTTTCCCCACTCGAATTAGGATGTAGTTGATTGTCACACTCAGTTTCCGAAATAAGTTCCGATTCCCCAATTGCAATTAGTGGTAGATCATCGTCTACCTTCATCACTTGTAACCCTTTCCCTTCTTCTTCTCTTTGCTCCTATAGCATCAGTATCTCTGCATGTGGTGAACTCCCCAAATTTGCAACTACATCAATGGACCTCTGTTGGTTTTCCTGTTTGGCTTCTTGTTGTGAATGCAAAACAACTTTAGTCTCTTCTATAAAAGAGTCGAACCTTACGATCTCTGTGTGCTCCAGATATAATTCATTAAAAATAACTTGGGCTGCAGAGTCATTCCCAAGTGTATTTTTAATTGCTTGCCCATTGCTGGGCTCAATGGGTTAGCCCAAAAATATCATTACTTCTCCCAAACCATTCTTTTGCATAGCATGATCCTTTCCTTTACTTTTGTCGACGAACTCAGTACACCCCACTTGGTACTTACCCCTTCCATGCATAGCTAGAAGGCTATCCCGTGCCCCTTCTACCTCGTGGTTTATTTTTGTCCGGCTATCTTTCATCGGCTTTGCTCCTGTGTCATCTCCGGTTTTCTCCCTGGAAATCTCCGGCCTTAGTTCAAAGCGAGTTTGTCTTTCAGCCCATATTGGTATGAAAAATTTAACCCCCTCTCTCTCAATGGCTACCTCGTTTGGTATGTTTCGGCCATCTCCTGCTACTTGAATTCTTGCCCACTTGAGATGATTCTTGAGCTATGTCTCTTCCGTAGCTTTCCACCCACCACAAAGATCTCCTATTTCTTTGAAAATCTTCTGTGAGCTTAGATGTAAGGGGACTCCCATGGCTCTGATCCAGGTCGTTTTGACAAAAATGGAGTTGGGAAGACAGCCGGTGATGGAGTTCCACCATTCGAGATAAAGCTTGAAATTCTTCCATTTCCAATCTCCTTGGAGAACCTGCTCAGCCATGTATTTGTTAGGGAACTCAAACAGAAAAAGATTCTCACTCACCTCATACATATTCACTCCAAATGACGTTTTCCATGTTATACTGGCCCATCTTCGAATGTCTGATAGTGTAGGTCTCTCGGTTGTTTCCTTCCCAAAGTACCCGATGATACATCTTGTCAAAAGTCTGTTATCCTTTGTCCCATTTGGCTCCACAATCGTGATGTCTCCTTTATTAGTGCTGACAACTGCTGCATGGAAGGTTGTTTGATTGCCATTTACTCTCTTGTACTGCTTTGGCATAAGGATAATTTGCTTCAGAAAGTCTGGGTGGCCTTGTGAAGTTACGTTGGGTGGAGCATTTAACAAACCTTTCTATCTTGAATGCAATGTCACTCCATCCTGCATTCAAGGCAAGTTCAGGGATTATAATGACCTCGCGGTTGTCTCTTTTCAATGACAATATACTCATGTATCTCCCGTGATCATTGTACTTCCTAGTACAAAAATGCTCAGTTAGCTTGTTCTTATTCTTCCATCTCCTTACCACATTCTTCTGATCATTAGAGGCTTCTTTGAGTACATTACAGACCCATTCCATAGTCTTCTTGCTTAACGTGGTGCGTCTCATCATATTGCGACTTCTCTCCACCCAATCGAACCATGAATCACTGTTGGAGGTTCATCTGGTGATATCGAAAGATTTAAAACCAGCGTTAAAATAAATTATGTTCTCCCCCATCATAAGGGACTACTTTTTTAAGTCACAATAGGTGTAAACATGGTGTGGTAGTGAATGATGGATTTTCCGGTGCTGAAGATGCCGGAAAAATTCTGTCCCCGGAATCTGAAGATTTTCTCCTTTAATTAGAAAAGATCTGCGGATCTTGGTGTAACAGGGTTGGGTAGACTCGGAAAGGCTTTTGGACAGGCTGTCTGAAGAAGAAAATGTGAAATCTGGCCGGAAAAAGCCACTGGCGTCGCCGGAAAAAACAAAAAGTCTACGAATTTGGTGAGACTAGATAAATTCAACTATTTCTCAAGACTAGCAACCAGAGAAATCAAATGTCAAATGTATTAATCTTCCATAAGCAGAACCCGATGCAGTTCACTTCTGAATATCTTATCATGCCTTGGAAAATATACTAGGCAAATTCAAAGATGATCCAGGAAGAGCTTCCCTTTTTAAATGCAGAATCGTTGAGGCTCGTCACCCGCTTCTACGAACCTTTGGGTGGTAAGTAAACCGACATCAATTACATGGTACTAAGACAGTATTTCCAGGCACATACAAATGTGAAATATGAACTCTTAGAGACTCCTATAAAAGAAACATCAATTATGGTTAACTTAGATCAATAAGGCTCATCTACAAGCAAGATTTCCTTCTTTTACACTGACCAGCCTCAAGTCACATGATGCAGTAAATAGATCTCTAGGGAGGCTGCAAATAGTAAATTGAAGTAAATGCTCAAGATCATAATATTCCTCATTAAATAACACAAAACTAGAACTGAAATCATCTACGTGCTGGATTTCCACCTTGTGCTGCTGCATCATATCCAGGACCAGCATGACCAGGTGGAGTAGATGAACCGTGAGGGTTATTACTCGTAGGTGCTACCTGTCCTTGAGTTGCAACACCTCCTTTATTCGATGCATCATAGTTAGAGGCCTTGGCAGGATCATAACTGGCTCCCCTTTGCACATCATAGCCCGATCCTCTCTGCGCATTATAAACAGGTGCCCCATATCCATCATAGCCAGGTCCTCCATAAGCTTCATAACCTGCTACCCTCTGAGCATCATATCCAGTTCCCTTCATTGTATCATATCCGTGCCCCCTCTGAGCGTCATAAGCTGCTAAAGCGGATCCTCTCTGTGCATCATAGCCGGGACCAGTTGGTACCATTCCCCGTTGTGCATCATAACCGGGCATATTTGATGAATCATAAGGAGGCCTGTTCGACGGAGGTACAGACTGAGCTCCAACATGCGGAGATGTAACCGCAGCAACTCCTCCAACATTGGTCGCTGTTGGAAGGGGGCCTCTGCCCTGCCAAGTAGAAGGAAGAGATAAGATTAGCATTTGGCACTCGACAAATACTAATAAAGGAGAACATTCATTTATTCCAGAATTTGGACAGGAGACAGTTTTGGTAAAAAGAACAAGAGACTTCAATCCCTCTATAATGTTGAATAGCAGACTTCAATTCCTCTTATCCGCTCTGAAGTTCAACGGTCTATTGGACTTCAAATAATTGAACCATACACCTCTACTCAGCAAAATACGTTGGGCGATAGAATGAATACAATAGCATGTTTCGAGTAACAGCATTTGGTTAAGAGGTAGTTATAGATAATAATCAAATGAGTTATTGCAGCGATCTAGCTTAAACTTTTTAAAAGCTTAACATGATTTCAAGAAACGCCAGAGTGCTTTTTATGGAAATGTTCCTTTTAACTTCTCATCCATGAAATTCAGATGGCTCACCTGAACCAAATTTGATAAGGAAATATAAATGTTCAAACGGAAAAGGAAGTCCAAATCTAAAATATCCATGAGTGATGAATCGATAGTGATATTCAGGCACTTACCAGAAAGAGTTGCTAATGTTAGAGGAACAAGTTCACCCCTGGATATAAGAGTCAAAATCTAAGTAGGTAAACTAATTATTAAAAGTTTCACTTCACAGCTTTATTCCCCTTGTTTTTATTTTCTCCCCTGTTCTCTCATTTTTGGTCTCTTCAACGAATAGTTTTGCTCAAAAAGAGAACACAGATTACATACATTGTTTTGATATGGCACAAAGATTACATACATAGTACTAATTTCTACCAGCTCAATTCTGATGATCATAATCTAGAGAACTCTGGAGTACTTAAAGCATAAAGATAGCATTTAAAACTACATAACAACTTTTCAACTTAATCAATTTGAGAAGAATCATTGTAGAACTAACTAATACATGAGCAATGACAGATTTAAAACCTGATATATTCCATAGCCATCTCCATAGATGTTTTGTCCAATAGCATAATTGTTAGCGGCATCATTCTCATTATATCCAGTAGCACCACCATATGGCCCACCTGCATATATATTACCATAAATGTTAAGTTTTCAGCAACTACTACGTCTAGTATAATTACCAAAACAAAAGAGAGAGAAGTGGTTAAGCAGATGTGGTACCCGTTCGTCTCTCAGAGTTAGAAGTGTTTAACTCTGCCCTAAGCTTTTCCACTTCTCTGGACATAGTCATGTAGTTCTTCTCCATCACTTGAAGAGATTCAAGATGATCACTGTACAATTTCCTCTCATACTCATAGGTACTCCTGTCAACCGAATTACAGAATATCAGACATCTTTCGATCAAACAAGAAGTTAGCATTCATTGAAAGCATTACCAAACATTATTTCCCCTTGCCTCTCCAATGCTTGCACATGACAAGCTATGTGTCCGACATCCTTGAAGGATCTCCTAAATAATTTAACCTCATATACCTAATATAAATCTAAAATGAACTAGCCCAGACACTGAGTTAAATCTTTTACATCAAATTCTTGTGGCGTGAGATATCCAATTGATTCTGTACAAATACTCGCCCCATCATGATTTGTTTGTTTCACATTTTTCAACTGGAACAACTTCTAATTTAGTGGAGGGAATCTGATCCATGATTATGATGCCCGCTTGGTAAGAGAGAAAACCTATGGAAATTCGGAACCATGATCCTTGGGGAAAACTCATATAAGAACCAATCCATGATACAAGTGACTAATAATTGCTCAGATTAGCTTTGGTCCTGAAAATAGAAGGTGCAATACTAGGAAGTCATATCACAATGGGCTGGATGGGTGAGGGTGAATCGGGCTATGGGCACCAGGCATATATATATTAAAAGCAGGAACCTTTTAAAGTTAAAAGTTAAATTACTTATTTACCCTTATATTAACCTACTAAATACTATATTTAATAATTAGAAAGAAACTAAAGCCTCCAAAGAGACCCAACGTTTCAGACGCAAAGCCAACGGGTTTGCACAGTTTTGAAGAAAATTTCAAACTACCATCAATGAATGTAAATATTATCACGACGTTTCAACATATTTAGCGAAGGATGGTACATTTGGATGCACAGATTTCGTTACCAACATGCCAAGTCCAATGATCATCCTTCTTTCGTAGTTTATTTTGAGGAATAAATTAATATTCATGGAAGGCAAAGTCAACTCCAAAGTGAATAAACAATTAAGCAACAATAAAACCGGGTTCTATTTTCTTTACTCATTCATTCTTGAATTATTTATCTTTTGTGATTTATGAAATGCAATATCTATAAATATGAGTAGAATAGATGGTTATGATCTCTTACGTGAGTTCTAATATTTTTTTTTTCCTTCAAGCTATGTGTATTTTCATCTATTATATTACTTCTTTAAATCTCTTATTTTCTTTTGTGTTATCACTGCTTTTTTCATTGTATTTGAGGATTCCAAACAACATATAGATTTAAGAAATAAACAAATTAGGTTCTATTCTAAAAGACCACTGAGTGAGAAACTTGGAAATATGTGTAGAACTCATGTAATTTCTTCTCTGGTTTAAAACTATGAAAGGCAACGATGATTTCTGAGTTGTGCCAACCACAAAATTCATTAAGAGGCTGCACAAAGATTAAGTGGTGTCACTTAGTTTAAGGGAAAGTCTTTCATCCTTTCGATATCCATGCAACACACATTTTTAGTTTTGACTACCAAAAAAAAAAAAATTTGGAAAAAGGATTTGTTGGCAGCCACCACCCTACGAGGCTACCACATATGATATTTTGGATGAAGTTCTTTAGATTGTTGAAGGATATAAAAATAACTGTAGATACCATCTTAAAATTAATATACGACCTTATTCTAATGCCTTGGATAACATCTTTCAACCGTGTTCTTCATTAATAATGGGTCGGTAGAAGTTAGAACAATTCTCTCTTTTAATATGGGATTCTTAAAAAAAAACTAAGGTATAGAGGATAATCTTGCAATAGATTTCTTTGGAGTTAAAATTTATAGTCTTGGACAGACAGACTTGAAGCAATTTAAACACTTGAGAAACGTTGCTCATAGTAAAGAACAAATTAATTATGCAAATCAAGTGATTCACAGTCGAAGTTAAGATTTTTTTATTTTTTCTACATGTGTTTAAATGATTTAAATACCTAATTGAGTTTAATCCAGATGATTGATATGTTTTAATTCATAATAATAATTTTATTATTCAATTAATAAATTTTACCAATTATTCATAAGCAAACGAGACTATTTAATTGTGAGCTAATTTTTAAGCGGGAAAAAATATTAAAAGAAATTGCTAAGATAAAATATTTATTGTTCAGTCTTAGTACATGGGTATGGATCATTTTGTCGTGACAGACTTGACAACAAAGTTTTGCTCCTGTAGTCAACATCATGTACATTAGAAGGATTTACTCGGTAATGAGTTACTGTTTACTTAAGTTAATTAATCCACTGTTTGCAAAATTCATTGTTTGCTTGGAATAAATTTTAAATATTGGTGATTGAACTTTTCAGAATTTTTTACTCTGTTCCATACATATTTAATATTTCATCCATCATGCCATTTATATTTTTCTTACTCTCTTGCTTTTCTCTCTCTCTCTAAGTGTGTATATACTTATGTGTTTACAGATACCAATAAAAATTCAATATATTTACTTATGCTTTGTTGAACTGGTTACTTGACATGCTATTTAGAAATATGGACCCTTCAAACGGCTTATACAATGGTATAAGGATGATTTATAGAGGATTTGACAACAATATCATACAGGAAGGAAGTACAATGGGTCAACATGCTACTAAGTATGTGTTTATCCATAAAATTCAATATTCTACCCTTGGAAATGAAAGATATCCTTTCAAAATGAAAATAAGTAAAAAAATATCACATGCATTACATAGGTGTGTACTACATGACTAAACATACACGTGCGACGCACATGCCGAGAATATATATATATATATATATATATATATATATATATATATATATAGGCAGAATAGCCTAGGAGACCATTGTACTTATTCCGGTTTGTCATCCCGGTCCTTGTAATCCACCAAGTTTAATCTGGACACTTATAGTGATCAAAATATTCTACTTTAAACCCCTCTGACCGTTGACGGAATATACGTGGCAACTTAGATGGCTGAGGTGGACAAAATGTGTGTATTTCACGCGTATAACAAGCGTGAGTATGAATATTAAAACGAAAAATAATTAAAACATTAAGAAAGAATGTTTTAAAATAAAAGAAAAAGACAAGAGAAATAGTAAGAAAAGAAAATTAGACAAAACCCAAAAATGAAAAACTCCAGTTCGCTGAATCCCTGTCGTTCTCCTCCAAATCGTCTGCCTCCCTCTCTCAAAAAGTAAATAAAGGATAAAGATCACTTAGATCTGAAAACACAGATATTCTGTTCTCAGAACAAAAAAAAGGTTTGATCTTTCATAAACTAAATACCGCAATTCATTCACAACTGTTTTTCCCAAAACCATATCCAAATATACATGCATGTTTTCCGTTAATTAAACCAAAATGCAAAAGCAAACCGTTCCAATCTGAATGCTTTTACCATCTGGAACTTCGTTTTGGCAATCTATGAATATTCAACAATTTTTGTAAATTACACCATATCAAATGTTCAAACTTAGTTTCACCCAGCTCCTTTGAGTAAAAAATGAAGCCTTCAATATCAATTGCTTTGAGCCTTAAAATCGAGTCTCTTGTGTCTAAATCATAAATTGCTTGAGTTTTAGTAATCTCTTGAAAGAGAAATCATTGGTGGAGGCTGGAGGGTGGCGGCGATGGGGGTTGGATGGAAAAGAAAGAAATGAAAAAGATGAAGAGGGAGGAGGAAAGAGAAAATGGAGTGAATATCAGGATTTTTTTTAAAAGTAGTTTCTGTCGAAAAAAAATTGTAATAATAAAAATTATGTGGCATATTTTATCTGATGTGGACATCAATCTCAGCGTGATTAAGCAACACGCGGGGTCAAAAGGGCTTAAAATTGTATATTTCAATAATTATAAGTGTCCAGATGAAACTTTGTGGATTACAAGGACCGGGATGACAAACCGGAATAAGTACAATGGTCTCCTAGGCTATTCTGCCATATATCTATATATATATATATATATATAGAGAGAGAGAGAGATATTTCCTTTGGCATATACTGTTTTATGTAAGGTCTCTTGTCAATTTTCTTCCATTCAATAGCTTTTACAAAAACTGTCTTAAAACCTATCATAAAATTTTTAGTTTGTCATGGGTAAGAATATTCCAACACTCAAATCTAATAGAACAAAAAAGGACATCTTGGGGTTAGGACAATTTGATTAAGCCACAACAGAAATCTAACCCTTTAAATGGTCAACGGTTTTCAAGGACCCAACTTTTTCAGTACATGAAGCATAGAAAATTTTATAGGTCCGAACATTCTTTATTAGACACCATTCTTTCGGGAGATGAAGCATGAAATTCTCATCTTCCTTTTTAATTCAAGTTTACCAAATCTTCCAAAAAAGTTCAGCGATCTTATGATTCTTGATATCCAAAGATAACCTTTGTATTGTTGAAACTAAAATCTACAAATGCGCTGACGGGAATGCCTAATTTTGCTACACAAGGTTTTCAACCCATGCTGGCCAAATACTGCTTTTCTTTCCTTAAGTCTTGCTAGCTTTCCCAAAAGAAAACCTTTTGCTTCTGGCCAAGGCTGATGCATATATAAGTTCACAACTTATAGATAAAAATTTAGATGTTTTATAATTTTGGAGGTCCCTAAAGTCAACCTGCATATTAATTGGAAGTTCATTATGCTTAAAGGATATTTACACCCAAAAGGAAGTCACAGTCTCATTGAGGATTACTCTTGAAACAAAAATATATACAACTATTTCTGTTATCTAATTTTTGGAGGAAGTAACCAATGTGTACACTAAAAGGTTTCTGAAGGATAGTGTACTATGGATGTACCTTAGCAAAAAGGGTAACTTTTCCTTCCAGGATCTGGGCACTCATTGCAGGTCTAATTATGTCAGTTGTTAGCTTGTAAAAAGAGACAGTTATCAAATAATTACCGGCACTGTTGATACTCCTTTTTTAGGGTCTCCAGCTCGGTCAACAAAGGAGGAATCTGTTGCACATCAGTGTGAGCCCTTTGAAGATCCTGAGTCAGCAGTTGTACTTTAGCAACAAGTTCCTGCCTTGCTGCAAACAAAGCGCGAGCTTCACCTTGTGCTTGCGGCAATTCCATTTTGATAGGTTCAGCAGCTTGAAGTTCAGCCTCTATCCTGGCAATTTTCTCCTTAAGGCCTCTAGTCTCTTGTTCCCTGTTAGACTTGACTGCTTCTATCTGAACATGCAACATTTGCAGGTCATGTTGTGCAGCAGCCAGTTCTCGCCTCAAAGTTCCATGGGTGGCAGCAAACCTCTGGTTTTCTGTGGTAAGTTTTTGCATTTCAAGATGCTGGCCAGCAATCTTCTGTTCCATAATTTCTGGAGGAGGTAGCCTGTCAAAAGGAGGGAAATCACCTGGTGGTGGGTTTCGTATAGGAGGACCATAAGGATCAGGGTTGCGTAGAGGAGGACCATAAGGATCAGGATGCACCAAGCCAGGGCCAGGAGGTGGCCGCCGAAGGTTGGGAGGTGGCCCTCGACCTTTGCTTCCCATTGAGAGATTGTAGGAGGAACCTGTACACAAGATGTACAATTACCAAACATATAATAGGCATCCAAAAGAGTACAAAACTTTAGTCCATTCTATCAAATAAAATCAAGGAAGATAAGACTTGTTTTACAGGATATATCGCACATGATAGAATGCAGGAAAAGAGTAGCATTGCAACATGGTTTCAAAAGAAGAAAGAAGTTGGAGCACTTGGAATGGACAGATCCTCTGGGGAATTGACACTGTATTTGTTCCTTATAGCAAGTAGCTTACCCTTTCCATTTACTATCCTGTTAGCAAATCCAAAAACTCAGAAACCCAAAACTCCCAGCAGTAACATGCTACATCCCCTTCACTTCAAGAGGTCAAGCAGACAATTCTCTAAAACAAACAATTACCTTCCTGTGACTTAAAAAGATAATGCCCACAAAATCATATGCAGCTTTGGTTCCTTAAAACAGATCTCTTTCCTATTTCCAGAGAAAATTTTCTGAATTACCAGTTTTATACCTCCAATTTTCATATTAGTTGAAGATAATTAGTTCAACATTAACATACAACATCCCAAATGGTCCAATTAATATTTAATCATCCTACAGCTCTTTGAAGACCCGAAAGACTGAAACTTTGCCCGTATTCGCTTAAAAAAAAACTGAGTTTTATGCTTTCCAGATGTACAAAAAAAATCAGCCTTAATAGTTAATCAATCAATCAATTTACACCTCAATCTCAAAGTAATTATGTCCGTTATATAAGCCCTCTATATTATTCCGCTCTATTTGAGCTCGTTTCATTAATCTATGGTCACAAAAGAAAAAGATTAATTTAAGTGACAAGGAAGGAAGGGACTAACCTAATTACGAAAATAACAAACAGAGTTCAAACCCTCGTTGGCAGTCGATAAGCCCACTGCGGTGCCAAGGCTCGAAGCCTTTATGCGAAATCCGAATTTGAGCTGAAATTCTCAGTGCGTCTCCGTTCGACGGAGAAGAAATTAGGGGTTTATATTTTTGGTCTGAAGTTTGTAATAATCCACACACCTCCTTCTAGTTTTAGAAATTACAAAACTTGCTTTTCTTTCCCTGCCTGCGGTTGCCTATCAATTAGGCCGACCGATACCCGACCCGACCCAAAAAATTTGAGCGGCAGATTAGGTCCATGTCAGCCCGGTTGAGAATCTGAAAGGATTAGCGGGTGAAGTACATATATAATCCTCAAAGTGGATAGTTTTAGATTTTTGTCCAGGTTTCATGGATAGAACTTCAAATTTAACAAGTGTTGCCCCTCTCGCTTGTCCCATGAACAATAATTTTAACTTTTGACCTTGAAGGTCTGCTTATAAGGAAAGCATGGATCAAAAGTTAAAGATCACCCCAAAATATGTCATATTTATGTAATTTTTTGTAGTGGGTCCAACTAGCTAAAGAATTAACAAGCCTGATCATGACCCAAATTTTGCACCTCCGCTAAAATCAACGCAGTCCAAATATCCACAATAATAATTTGATATCAAAAACGAATTTTTTACATAGAAAATTAACCGAGAAAGTTCATATAAAATTTCAACGAGGATGTGTGTTGAACTAAGAGCAATTGACAGTTGTGTACAACTAATTATATCTAATAAGTTAGTGGTGCGGTTAGTCGGTAGTTATGAGTTAAACAATAGGAAGCTAGGCGGTTAAGTAGTTGAGTAGTATAAATATACAATAGCTTTCCTTTTTCTAGTTATGCAGTTATACAGTAACAGGAGCACAACTGCTCATTTGCTTCTTAGCTTTCATTGCCAAAGCTAGGAATAGAATCTAGAGTTCATCATGGTATCAGAGCTTGAGTTAACGATCAACATCACTCGATTTCAGCTTTAAACTCATCATCCTCAATTTTCTTTGTTACTCACTCATTCGAGCTGAGCAATTGCTTTGATTCCTAAAAATTAGGGTTAGATCGATTTTGAGAAATTTGATATATGTTGTGTACAGCATTTGTGTGAGCTAGATTTTCGTTAATAATGGCGATTACTGAAGAGGACAGTGGATCGACTCCAGGAGCTGTAGCTGCAGCACCAGTGATCGATCAGTATCATCCTTTGTTTCTGCAACCCAGTGACACTTCACTCATCTTTGTTAAGCTCACAGGACATGAGAATTACACCTTGTGGAGTAGCACTATGCGAGTTAGTTTGTTAGGAAAAACTAAGTTAGGGTTTGTAGATGGAAGGTATCCAAAAGAGAAGTTTCCTCATGTTCTTCACGAGCTCTAGAAAAAATCTAATGTTATAGTTCTATCGTGGATTATGAATTATGTGACTGCTGAATTGTTGGGTGGCATGGTCTATGCTTCGAGTGCTCACAAGGTGTGGATGGATCTCAAAGAGACATTTGACAAAGTTAATGGTTCTAGAGTGTTATATCTGCATAAACAAATTGCAACCCTGACTCAAGGACTTTCAATTATGTCGGCTTTTTTCTCAAAGAAGGAGTTGTGGGCATAGTTTGATGCTCTTGTGCCTTGCGCTGGGTGTGGCTGTGAAGAGTCAAAGAAATATGTAGAGCACTTTGTGTTTCAAAGGCTACTCCAGTTTCTCATGGGCCTAAATGGGACATACTCTCAGTCAAGCAATCAAATCTTGAACATGTCTCATAGGCCTTCCATAAACAAAGCCTACTCAATGATCATATCAGAAGAAAGCAAAAGAGAAATATCACATTCATCTCAAGTATCTGAAATCAATGAAGGCGTAACCTTGTTTAGCAATAAGGGAACATGCTCTGGTGCTCCAATTCAGTTGAATGCAAAAGGAAACCTTGGGCAAAATCACAACTTCTTGGGAAATGAGGTGACATCTTGGTTCAGTAGCAAAGGGAATGCAGGTGCTGGTTATGGTCATTCTGGAGGTAGTAATCACTCAGGTCCCAATTACAGACCTAGAAAAAACAATCTACATTGTGATTATTACAACTTCAAAGATCACACTAGGGAAATTTGTTACAAACTGAATGGATATCCACCAGCCAAAGAAGAAGGGTGGATTTGGTAATACAGTTAACTATGTTCATACCAATGTTGGCAACTATGTGTCTGATACTTCCACTGGCCCTGCATAAGCAGGATCTACTCCTAACTTTGTAGGAACCTCACTAATGCAACAAGCAAGTAAGAACTTCCAAGCTGGAATTCCTCAATTCACTCGAGAGCAGTACAGTCAGATTCTTCAGCTTCCAGGAAAGCAACCTGTATGTAGCGGTTCTGCTATGGCAGCAGGTATGCCATTATGTGGTGATATTACTAAAATTATGACTAAATGAGTTAAAGGCTCAGGGGCTTCGAGTCACATGGCAAATGATTCTAGTTGGTTGGTTAATGTTAAAACTGTTGGTGATAAAGGTGAAAAAGTTCACTTACCTACTGATAGTGTAGCTCATATTAGTCACATAGGATATGCTTACATTCTTAAGGATCTTATAGTGTCTAATGTGATGCACATTACTGACTTCAAGTATAACCTTTTATCTGTATCCAAGCTCACAAAGGAAATGAGGTGGTTTGTTATGTTTTTCCCTAACTTCTTCATTTTCCAAGAGCTCATCAGTGGACAGGTGAGGGGGATTGGTCGAGAGAAAGATGTTCTGTATGTGTTCAACTCTACTTCAAAGAAGTCAGTAGCATTACAAGATCAAAGTCCAATTGCAGAAATTCTGAATATTCCAAGGCCAATACTCACTGTAAATATAATAAAGGTTCATAATAAGGTAGTGAATGTAGCTTTGTGGCATACGATGTTAGGTCATGCACCTCTAGATACTTTGAAGAAACTGAATGATTTTCATGATTTTCAAGCTGCTGCATGTAGTAGTAAAGACAAGTATTGTACAATATGCCCTTTAGCTAAATAGACAAGACTACCTTTTCCTCTTAGTCTTACCTTGTCTAAATCCTGCTTTCACATTATTCATGGTGATGTTTGGGGTCCTTACAGATTCACTATCTATGATGGAAAGAGGTATTTCTTAACTTTGGTGGATGATTATTCTAGGTATACATGGCTCTTCCTTTTACCTACTAAAGCTGAGGTTATTGTTGCTCTTAGATCTTTCTTCACTATGATTAAGAATGTTTACTTAGCTCCTGTTAATTTTTTTAGATCTGATAATGGATGTGAATTCTTTAACTCACATGTGACTGAATTGTTACAATCCCTGGGAATTATACATCAGAGCTCGTGCATCTACACTCCACAGCAAAATGGAGTTGCTAAAAGAAGACACAAGTATATTCTGGAGATGGTTCGAGCACTCAGATTTCAGGCCTCAGTACCATTAAGGTTCTGGGGAGAGTGTATCAATACTGCTGTGTACATCATTAACAGGCTCCCTTCAACTGTTCTTCACAAAAGATCTCCTTTTGAAATTAAGTTTGGTCATTCACCTTCTCTGCACCACATGAGAGTATTTGGATGCTTGGGATATGTGACCACAGTTAGAAGACCTGATAAATTTGCTTCCAGAACATATCCTGCAGTCTTTCTAGGTTATTCTGCTATACATAAGGGATATAGGATGTTTAGGCTTCATACAAAAGAATTTCACATCAGCGGGGATGTAGTGTTTAAGGAGGATGTTTTTCCTTTCCAGCACATGAGTTCTAAAAACTCAACCTTATTCCCTATCCTAGATTTCACTACTATTTCCTCAACTGTTCCTGCAGATGCTTCATGGACTCCACCTGCTCAGTCCATACCTCTTTCCTCTCCTGTCTCTTCTAATTCAGATGTGCCTTCTATTCATCTTTCACCTGTTAGTGGTCTTCCAGATCATGTCACAGTCAATGATGCTCCTGCTCCTATCAGAGCTATTTATGTTGAGCCATCAGATGACAATAGAAAATCCATCAGGGTGAGTAGACCACCTATATGGATGAAAGACTACATTGTTCATAGGAAAGGGAGTGCACATTATTGTTATCCTATATCAGACAGTGTCAACTATGCCAATGTGTCACCTTCGTTAGGAGCTGGATTAGCTGCTTACTCCGCCATTGTGGAACCTTAGACCTACAATTAGGCAGTAAAAGATGCAAAGTGGATTGAGGCAATGAAGTATGAAATATCAGCTTTGGAGGACAATCACACCTGGACATTAGTGGATCTTCCTCCTGGAAAGTTCCTATTGACTGTAAATAAGTGTTCAAGGTCAAATATACCTCCTCAGGTGCAGTAGAAATGTACAAGGCCAGGCTTGAGCCAAAGGGTATAGCCAGCAGGAGGGGTTTGACTACACTGAGACCTTCTCTCTTGTAGCCAAAATGGTTACAGTCATGTCTGTGTATGTGGAAAGTGGAGTTTGAGTTAATAGTGGTGCTTGTCTATGTGGATGATTTGCTTGTGACTGGGAGTAGCCAAAAACTAATTTTTCAAACCAGAAGTGATTTAAAACTCAAGTTCAAAATGAAAGACTTGGTGAACTCAAGTTCTTTCTTGGAATTGTGTTTGCTAGATCAACTATGGGAATTATGATAAGCCAAAGGAAGTATGCTTTGGAACTCATTGCAGAGATGGGGCTCAGTGGTGCAAAACTAGTTGGTACACCTTTGGAAGCAAATGTAAAACTTACATCTGAAGAATATGACAGGTTTGTTCATGATCAATCCTCTTCTGAAACAGAAGATAAGTTACTAGATGATGCTGGAAAATACGATTGACTGATAGGCCGCAGGTTACACTACCTTACAATGTCTAGAGTTGACATTGGTTATGTAGTGCAAGTTTTGAGCCAATACATGCACAAACCAAAGCAGTCACACATGAAGCTGCATTGTGAGTGGTAAGGTATATTAAAGTTTCTCTAGGACTTGGTCTTCTAATGCCATATGTAGGTTCAGGTGGAAGGTTTTTGTAACTCAGATTGGAGAGGCTGTTTGCAGACGAGAAAATTAGTTACAGGCTACCTAGTGAAGTTTGGGAATACACTGATTTCCTGGAAGTCAAAGAAACAAGAGATAGTGGCTATAAGCTCTATAGAGGTACAGTTCAGGAGCATGGCCTCAGCAGTTGCTGAACTTACCTGGCTTACAGGGCTATTCAAGGAGTTAGGTTTAGAGATTGAGTTACCTATAACTCTTAATTATGATAGTAAAGCTGCTATCCAAATAGCAGCCAATCTGATATTTCATGAAATGACCAAACACATCGATATTGATTGCCATTTTGTTCACGAGAAGATAGTACAAGGACTGATCAAAACACATCATGTGACCACCAAAGAGTAGCGGGCTGATCTCCTAACAAAGAGCCTTGGTCAAGTGCAGCATGACTAGTTCATGTCCAAGCTGAGACTGAAAGATATCTTTCAACCATTAGCTTGAGGAGGGGTATTGAACTAAGATCTATTGACAGTTGTGTACAACTAATTATATGTAATAAGTTAGTGGTGTGGTTAGTCGGTAGTTAGAAGTTAAACAATAGGGAGTTAGGCGTTAAGTAGTTGAGTAGTATAAATGTACAGTAGCTTTCCGTTTTCCAGTTATACAGTTATACAGTAACAAGAGCACAACTACTCCTCTACTTTCCTCTGCTTCTTCCCAACTTTCATCGCCATAGCTAGGAGTAGAATCTAGAGTTCATCAATGTGTAATACCGAAAAGACAAAATAAATATTTGTGGCAAATTAAAGAAATTGATGTATGAGCTTAAACAATATCCAAGAGTATTGTTTGGATAAGTTATAAAGTTTATAATAGTATTTGGATACCATCAAAGTAACTTACATTATATTTTATTTAAAAAAAATAACATGATAAGATTATTGCTCCCGTTAGATATATGGATAACATGATGGTTGCAATTTACCAGGAAAAAGAAAGGAAGACTTTGCAAGAACATTTTTATAAAGTTTCAAATGAAATATCTAGGCTCCTTGAATTACATTTTTGCATTGAAGTTTTAGATGCAAGAAAGAAATTTTCTTGTATCTTAAAGAAAATATGTACTAGTAGATTAACTCCAAGAAAAACTGATATGATAACATGTCAACCTATTATTTCATCGAAAGAGTAGATTTTTAATTGTGTATCGAAGCAACCAAATACTAGTTGATAAAGGAAGATATTAGGGTTTGTGAGAAGATAGATGTACTTGGCTTCTTTGCTTACGTCAGTCAACTTATGCCTATTCTTGATGAATAAATATAAAAATGCTACTTTCGTATTTTTATGTATTTGAAATCTACTCGTGAAAATGAAATATTGCTCACTAAAAATACAAATCATCAGGATATTGATATATATACTAATGTTCATTGGGCTCGCTATGATAGGTGATAAACTTCTGGTCACTTCACATTCATAGTAGGTATTGTTGTTACTTGGAGAAGTAAAAAGATAAAATAGTATTGTACGCTCAACCGTAAAAGCTTAATTTAGGGGTACTATGACATGTGGACTTTGTGAGGATTTGCCTTAAGCTTCTTTATAGGATTTTACATGCTTAAGCACCCAATTTAATTGTATCGTGACAATAAAGTTACATCTGATATTGCTCATAACCGGTCAACATAACTGAATGAAATATGCTAAACTGGGTAGATTTTTCATTACGCAAAACTTAAATGCAAGAATTTTGAAGTTATTTAAAATCCGATATGAAGATCAGTCGGCTGATATTCTTACTCAAATAGTCTCAAGCCAAAAAAATTTTAAAAATTATTTAGCAAGTTATGTAAAAGATAATATCTACCCACCAACTTGAGAAGAAATGTTAGAGATATTCTGAGATTGTTTTTGTTATTTTCTCCCCATATATGCTTCTTATATTATTTCTCTAGTTGTATTATCCTTAGATTGAGGGATTGTACAACTTCAAATGTATCTTGCCACCTATTTTATTAGTTTTACTACATTATAAATATTGATTATAACATTGTTTTTTATCTGAATATCGCTAAACTATTAGGCCACTTTTTTTAAAAATTTTTGGTAATTAAAGTTTTATTAATCACCAGAAGAACAATACATAATATGCTTAGTCATCCACGACTAGCAACCAAATAAAGAAACTATTTCTCCTACTATTAACTACTAGCCATACTTCAATAGAATAAAAACGATCCTTCGTACTAGTTTACTATCTATCTAAAATTTCAGTTTATGTAAATGACTTCTAATATCCCCAACTATTCTGACATTGCAGGTGTATGTTATTTCTCTGGCTATCTTCTCTTGGTCCCTTGCTATTCGTTCAAAAGTTCTGTTGTTCCTCTCTTTTCGAACAACATAATTGTATTCTTCATATATCATTTTGATGATAATGGCTTTTTGTGATCTCCCCCTGATATTGTTTTGCTACCCAACGCATCATCTGATCCCAAGTCTGCCATTGAATTGGCATGTATTGCAACCATACCATAAGTCTATTTCATAGAGTCATTGAAAAGTTGCATTCTCCAAATAGATGGTTTCTGGTATCATCCCTTGTTTGGCATAGGACACACTTAGCCCTCATTGCAAGCCCCCATTTTATTAGTCTATCCATAGTCAACAATCTACCATGGAATTGCAGCCACATTGTGAAGAGTGCCTTGGGTCTACCAGCATTATGATACATTCGGCTCTCCATTCCACCTTCAGATGAAATTCTAATAGTTGCATATATACTTGTCTGTTCCAGGTGTTCTTCCCTTGCATGGTATTGTGTATCTGATGTATCACCTCTTTGGCCCCTATTATCTTCCTTACCATCCAACTCGCTTGTCGGGGTATAGGCATGTCTTTAATTTTCTGGCCCTTAATATGGTATTCATGCATCCATTTTATCCACAATATGTCCTATTTATTGGCTAAGTCCCAATAGTGTTTTGATATGGCTGATTTATTCCATGATTACAAATTTGTCAGATTATAGCCACCCACTACTTTAGGTAGACAGACTTTGTCCCAAGCTATCAATGTCTTTTTTATGATCACATTACCTCCTGTCCATAAATAACTTCCACAATGAGCTTCAATCAATTTCATGACTCTCTTTGGCATAAGAAACACCCGTGTCCAGTAAGTCTCCATACCTAATAGGACAAATTGTATAAGTTGGATCCTTCCTGCATACAACAATTTTTTTTTACCGTCCAAGACGTTATCTTAGCCACAATGTTATTTTAGAAGGGTTTGCCAGTGTATCATGCTTATTTTCTTTGTATCCAATGTGACCCCTAAATATTTAAAGAGTAACTCTCCTAAAGAATAACCAATTCTTTGCAGAATCAGCTCCTTATCAGTTGAATTAACCCCTCCAAAATAAATTTCACTCTTTGTCATATTAGCTTATAGTCCAGATGTTGAGGAAAAACTTAGGTAACATTTCTGCAATTCTTGGACATGCTCTATGTCACCCTTTGAGAACAGTAGTAAGTCGTCTGCAAAGCTTAGTGGGTGATGTTTAATCTTCTACATCTTGGGTGAAACTTAAAATTTCTCTAGTTCTTCAGACAACTTAGCAACATACTCAAATACTCCATGGATGTAGGAGGGAGAAATTCGATTTTCTTGCCTTAATCCTTTAGCTGCAACAAATGGTTCAACTAACTCACCATTAAACTACATTGAATATGTAACGATCTGATCGGTTATTTTGAGATCTAGCGCTTCTTTCGATGGTTTGAGACCATGGGTAGCTTCAAATTCATGTATTATGACTTGTACATGTAGTCGAATTTGAATTTCGGGAAGTTCGAAGTTGATTTGGAAGGAAAATTCTCAATTCGGAAGCTTTAAATTGAAAGAGTTGACCAAGGTTTGACTTTTGATAAACAACCTTGGAATAAGGATTTGAAGGTTCCAATAGGTTCGTATGATGATTTTGAACTTGGGTGTATGTTCGAGTTAAGTATCGGATGATCTGGGAGCATTTCGGCGCCTAATGTGGAAAGTTGGCATTTTGAAGGTTTTAGAATTTCCTAAGTTTGATTTGAAGTGGACTTTTATATTATCAATGTCCGTTTGAGATTTTGAGCCTTGGAATATGTTCGTATTGTGATTCCTGACCTGTACGTAAAATTTGGCG